CAAAGTGCAAAAATTCACCAGATATGGCTCCGTGTGACTTTTTCCTATTCCCAAAGTTGAAGAGACCCATGAAAGGACGGCGGTTTTCCTCGATTGAAGAAAATCGCCGAGAGTGCTCAAGGACATATCAAAAAGTGAATATCAAGGGTGCTTCGAAAATTGGAAAAAACGCTGGCATAAGTGTATTATATCTGGGGGGGACTACTTTGAAGGGGACCACATTAATGTAGACGAATAAATAAATTTTTTTTGAAAAAACGAAAATTACGAAAACTTTTTAACAGACCTCGTATAATGAGTTAACTGCACAATTACCTGATTATTATCATCAACGGAGAGGTGCTCCCTTGCTGTCTTCATGCATTTTTGATTTATATCCAATAAGTCTACTAATTTAGGAATACCGCCACAGTTACGAACCTTTAATTTTTAATTTTTAATCAATTCATGTTTAATACTAATCAAATATTATATATAATATCTGCTTTATGTTTTCAAAGCTTACGGGATAATCGGATATATCGTCATATCTGCTTTATGTTTCTGTAGAGCAATACTGCGATAGGCACATCTATTTAAATCGGTCTATTTTTTGTTTTAGATAATTTTAACAACTCAATTTTTTAACATCACATATTAATACAAATAACAAAAAAAGATTTTTTATATTCTGATGATTTCAAACTTAAGTTTTGCATTCTCAAAAAATATACATGTATGTATGTGATTTTTATGTCTCTACGTATGAAATAGTATTTTGTTCGCAAAATTTCAGAAACTAATTAACCGTTTAGGTGATAAATATAAATTCATTAAAAATATAAATAGATTATTATTTCAACTATTCAAATCGATCCAGCAATGGCAGATTCATACAAAATGAATGCACATAAAAATACGTATTTTGTTTGTTTTGATATGCCAAAATGTTCAGATGGTCTTGAAATTTTCTATTTCTTAGCTATTTCAATAACCTACCATACGGGAAGTTATTAAAAATTATTTCATATCGTCCAACATGAAAATTTAATAATCTAAAATTTATTTAGTATTGAAAATTTTGCGCCGTCAGATAAATCATTAATATGACGCGTTATTTTCTGAGATATGCAGATTATATTATCTCTTTGGCGATTACGAAAGTACTGATAATCAGAGATGTCAATAAGATATTTTCAATTTTCACATATATATATATATATATATATATATATATATATAATAAAAAAACTACTAATATTGAAAAAAATCTGAGGATTACGAGGTTTGATAATTTCAAGTGTATCACAATATTGACAATAGCTCTTTTATCTAATTGATTAATTTATGAGCACTATTATCATTCAACTTAAAAATATTATCGAAGATATTTTAAGAAATAATTGATTGATTGCTA